TGCTCGAGCGCCTCGACCAGCTGGAGCTCAGGTGCGGGCGGGCGGTGCGGGGACCCCCACGGCAGCGCGGGTGCGGGGAAGGCGCCTGCCGCCCGGCCCGGCCCCGCAGCGCTCCCGCTCTCGCACTTGGTCGGCAGCTCTTTATTCAGGGATCGGCTTCATGCAGGAAATGTTATTACACTTTAAAGAGTAAATACACGCTTTGGTCGCAATTCTAATTCTTTAGCTTAATTCGCATTACTAACTGTGCAGACTAGCTTTGAAGAAGGAAAGTAGGTCTTATCATGGCACTCTCCCCTTCTCGGGCTCCTGCTTTACAGGAGCGGGCACCTCTTACCTGCCCATCCCCAAGCCTCCAGGCTTGGGCCTGCACGTAGGATGCCCCCCCAAAAGGCTTTGGAAATATCTGAAGCCCCTGGTGGGGTGGAAGATGTTTGCCAGTTTTAGGGCCACTTACAGTGACTCGCGGATTTGGACTTGATTTGGCTTGGAACGTGAAAACTGTTGTTAAAAAATTACCTCTTTCCTGTCCATTGGCATTACTTTTTGTCACTGCCAAACTTCACCCACCCTGGGGTCTTCCACCTGCCCTTGCAAAACGTCTTATTTCCGTTTTGTCTGTGGGGAACCCCCCTCCCCCCAAAAACAAAACAACCCCCCCAAAATGGCATGTGCATTTTCATTTCTACCTAGGAGGACGTTTACAGTCTTTGCAGTCTCCTGTGCCTGGTGATGGGTGCCTGTGCCCAAAAGCTTGCAGATAAAGAAGTTTTGTTGCAAATATCTAATAGCAGATATTACCTTTGCCACAAGTTTTGATTCCTTTTGCTTCTTGGTCAAGACGGCAACAATCTGGATACCTGATTGGGGAAAAAAAAAAGTCCTCCTTATTTTGGGGTGAATACAGTTGACAATCACTTAATTTGGGGGTTTTTAGACCTCTTCCAAACTCGAAATGGTAAATTTTGAAGTCACTTTTAGGCGGTCTTCTAATGTAAAAAAAAAAAATACATTTTTTTTCCAAAAGGAAAAGTTAAAATGTGTCATTAAAAAACCATCAAACCAGAATGTCATTTTAATTTGTTTGTACTTTTTCGCCTTTAAGCTAAAGCTGCACTTTTTGGTGCACAGACTTAAAAAAAATTACCCAGCTGTATTAAAGCAGCTTAAAAAAGGAGACATCTCACCTCTTTTGCACAGATTATTTTAGTTACAGTAACTGAAATTGTGGGTTTGTAACTATAGTAAATGAAAACTTTTCATATACAAATAAGGTCTTTCAGTTGATTACATTCCTTGGCTGTCACCACCCCTAAAAAATACTGTGCTGTATAGTGTCAGCTTCTCCTTGCTGCTTTCCAGATACTGCTTTGACTACTACGTCCCAAGGGTTTGCTCTCATATGCATGTCAGACCTCTTGAGTCTGTACACAGAGACGCAGTTAGTGGATTTATAGAAATATATAGTTAATGCCTTGACGAATTAAGTACTTCTTTTAGACAGTAACACCAGTATTTTTTTCTTTGATGAGGGGCTAGGATGGAAAGATAGAGTAATGCGTGCCATATTAAAGGCATGTATGTTAAGAGGACTTGTTGCATTGTGCTTGGCAGTAGAAACATAGACGTATCCAAAGATGGAAGCTAGTAAACGGACATAGAAGGGAAAGAGAGAGGATCACCCTTTGAAACCGGGCTGTAGTGGAACAGTTGTTTAGATCTCCTGGCGTGGCCATTGGGGAATTGCTGCACAGAGAAAACTGGTGAAAAGCAGTACAGGTGGCCATTAACATGGAATATTAGTTGTTTCTTTGAGCCTGAGTCTCTTTATCGCCATAACTTTCAGTATTCTCCAAGAAATGTCAACTGCAGTTGAGAGCACGTTGAAAATGTCTATTTGTGGGCCGTGGTGACTGTAATTAAATGAATGCCATGTTCTAAATTATTAGATTTTACATATATAAAATCAGATGCACTTTTTTTTGTCCTGTCCATCACCCTCCCCCTGTGCCTTGTGCCATCTTCTGTCTTCTTGACACTATAGAGGAGCTTTTTTGCTTATCTGTAATTTTATTAAGTAAATCACCTGAGCAAAGAAACATGGCTTCTAAATTGTTCATGATATTCAACTGAAAAAGTGCTTCATTGTGTTTATCCTAGTTTCAAAAAAAGACCGCATAGTAAAATGCACAGTGACAGAACTGACCAAGAGCCACTAACCAATTCAACAATTTACCACCAATTATATTGCATAAGCTTTAAATAGAATTAATTTAAATGATTAAATGTGATAACATGGGGAGAGTTCTTAATAGCTCTCACAAAGAAGCAAATACAAAGTTTCTCATCTGGTAACAACGGTGCAACCTGCATCTGCTGCACTGGGTCAAGCTGTGTTCTGGTAAGGAGTGTGGCACTAGAGGAAGATCCTGCATTTGCTTTTAATCACTCTTAGGCCATCTACAATCAGAAATACAGAGAACAGTGTTTTCATTATATTCAAAACTATATATATATTAGAAGATAAAATGCAACCCGATACCCTATTTTTTAGATATATAAGGAGTGCTATATCACTGCGGTATCAAGAAAATGTTCTTGAAGTACTTAATTTGGATATTTGGGTTTCTTTTTGTCTCCTTGTTTTCAAGCTGCTAAGGGTACACAAGTCACATTGTCAAGCTTTGTCAAGCTTTTTCTCTGCAACTGTTTAAAAATTGAAAACCAAGATCCTCATCTAATCTCATGATTCCAGGAGATGTGGGTTTAAGAAGAGCTCTCCCAAGATTTGTCTAAAAGCTACGAGCGTTGATAATGGTATATGGATTCAAAGGGCTTCTGGGGCTCCACAGGAAAGGTGCAGCTGGAGACCATTTCTGTAGAATTTACTTAGGAAATTCTTTGTCAGTAGGCAGGGATTGAAGAGATGTACTCAAATCCTGGTGAACTAGCCAGAGGCTCAGGGCTTCCCTTGATACCCCACAGTCCCTTACATCTCAATAGAAAAAGGAAGAAACAGCAAAGCAGTTAATAGGACCAAAGAGATACAAGGCAGTTGGCTATCATTCAGTCAGTAAAAATGACCAATGAAATGTTTTTGTGTGTCTGTGTAGTCAGGAACAAAGGACTGATAAATCTAGCACATGGCAGCTTCTATATGGTCTGTTGCTGATTTATCTGCTGATGCCAAAATCACTAAATTGGTTGTAATTCCTTCAGCTATTTGTGGGTACGTCTGTGTTCTACTCTTCTTGGAAAACTGCTGTATTCAATATATTTCCTGTTAGTAAACTATCACTTCAGCATTTCTGTTACAGAAGGAAAATGGCATAAGAATTATACAGGTGTAAATCACAAATTAGTTTGGTTTTGGTTTTTGGTTTTTTTCCACTTTACTTGAAAATTCGTCCAAGGGCTAGTATACAGAATGTCGTGTGAAATATGACACTGAACTTAGTGTCGACCTCTTCCTGAGTAGTCACATATGCTTCTTGGCTAGTTAGGGTTAACAATGTGCCACTTCCCATTTTTCATGTTGGCCCCAATTAGATATGAAAGAGCAGTACCTCCCGCCCTTAGTCTCTAGTCTTCCTCTTGTTTAATCTTCTTTCCCGTTAAGAGTTATATCCCATTCCTCCAACTTGAATATGTAATTCAGATTTGCTTCTTACATAATGCTGAGATCCTGCCTTTGCTACTGCATTGAAAAAATTGGCCCTCCATTGTTTTTGAATGAATTTTCGCAGGTTTTGATGGCATGCATGTCCCTTCAGTAATACTGGATGGGAATTTCATCAGAGGTAGTACTGAGCGCCAAGCGAGGACTGAAATTGTACAGTGTTTTGAAGGTGAGGTCGAGCAGCTTAATATTGTAGATCTCATGAGAGTTCCTGCCTTGGATGCTGAAGTCCTTTATTTATTTAAAGAATAAATGCGTGAACAGCAACAACCATGTTCTCCCAACATGTATCCTGACCTGAAGAGGTTACATCTCTAGGGTAAGAAATTTCTTTATTTCGCATACCCGTTTAATCTGTGCTCTCTTCTTAAAATAAATACAGTTTTCTGGCTAGCACCACTTATGGGCCCCATCCAGATGAGGACATCCATGTGGTATGTGTCTGTGCAGCTGTGTCTGCAGTACCACATGTTCATCTGTTCTCTGCGCTGCAAGGGAGCAGTGCAGGGCAGGGGTTGACCCCTGGGTCAAAAAAAACCCTCTCAAGAAAAAGGTGGATTGGCATATGTGGGGGCAACATACACTGCTCAAAACCAGCGTGGCTCCGGCTGACCAGGATCTGAAACTGCTGGCCAGGCTCCGAGCGGCAGGATCGCTGCTGCTGCTGCAACCCGGGAGGCCCCCAGGACACCAGTAAAGCTAGCCAGACTCCCCGACCCCACCCAGGGTAACCCGCTGTGCACCAGAGGGCAAGTGGCATGGGCGTTCCCCAGAGATAACTAGCAGCAGCACAAGGTGCTCTGCTGCTGGTTGTCCCCAGGGAACTAAATGTCTGTGCTTGTCTGGACGCAGCTTTGGAAACATTCCATAAAGCAGCAGATACAAGTGGCTAGAATAGCCACCAAACATCTATTATTGAAAATAATCTAATTTTCATCATCTGTTTAAAAGATTTTATATGAGATACACTTATCAAAGCATTAGTTTTTAAGGGCACTTATCAACTTCGTGGTACATCAGATTTTGCTAAATGTGCCTGTAAACTTCCACTTCAGCTAACAGTTAATATTGTAAGGAATCATCTCTATGTTCAGTATACTGTTTTTCAAATTCCTTTAAGGACCTGATTCAGCACCTGGTAAAGTAATTGAAAAGGATGTCATTGGCTTCAGTGGACACTGGATCAGACCATTACTGAGTATATTAAATTAGTGGAGATATGCAACTTAAATGGTGTGAACCTTTATTTTAAAAAGCCTCTAGATTTCTAAATTTTCATCTTAAGCTTCCAACAATTAAGGATTCTTACCAGGCGACGACCTGGTAAGGGGCCTCCAGGTCCTCGACCACCT